TATTATTATTATTTGTATGTACATGCGCGTTTGTAATCCTGAAATCTCTGTCATTTGTTTTGCTTAGTTGTGTTCTGCATAATAAACTTTCTTTGATATACATGTGTTTTTATTAATTTATGATATTTATTATATAAAAATATTTATATATGAATAGTGAAAATATTTGGAATGTAGAATATATTTGAGATATATAAAATGTGGAAATATTTAAAATATAAAAATATTTAAAATAATAAAAGTATCATATAAAAATAACTTTGTTTTTGTTTTCTTATACTACACTTATTTTCTTCCACTTATAAAACTAATCCCTACTAACACTAAATGGGTCAGACTCCATTGCTACGATGTATATTAATCCAATAAAATCTTTCTATTTTATTTGTAAAATATTTAACTTTGTTACGATATAATATACATTTATATGATATTATTGAACATATGTTCTAAAATTAACCAAGAGAAATATCTTACCTTTAGTCAATTATTAAATTGATTCATGTCTTATATTTATATGGTTTTCATTATCACCAAATATGAAAGACTGCTTTATCATTTTAATTATACAAAATTAAACACTCGAGAACGCAGCTCGTGGTAACGAAAACAAAATTAAAGGACTATATTTTTTGTTTGCTGTTATCTATCGTCATTGTGTCATTGTCGCTGATATAATCTTGAAGATGCAAATAGCGTGTGTGTATAAGTAATATATAGTAGTGTAACAAGCACTGTATCTTGAGGTACACCTGCTGAGATAGGTCAAATGAAATAGCTCTATCCCGTATCAGAAATCTTTCGGAAAGGAAGTACTGAAGAATAACATATTAGGGGGCATGTCGGGTTGCGTTTAAGAGAAAAACGGCTTGTTCATAACCCAATCAAACTTGTCGGCAAAGTTCAGGCAAACGCCAGATAAAACGCATATAATTTTTGTTGGAGTGTTGTGGGTATGTATTCCATCACTCTGAGCTGAGTTTTCTGTCCTAAATCCAAATTGATGGTTTTTTGTGCGTGTTTGTCTTTTTATAGGCCTCTGAACGATTAATTATTGATAAGTCCTCTATATTGCAAGTTGGTTACAAATTATTCTGAATATGAAGAAATTATAATAGAATGTATAATAATAAATTCATTTAGTTGGTTTAAAATGACCGTAATAAATACTTTATACCAAATTAATTAATGTAGATTAGTTAAAATATTAAGTCGAATCAATTATAATTTAATGAATTAAATTAATACTATGTTGTTTTTCTATTTTTTTTTTTATTTAAGGTAAAATTATGAAAAAGAAAAAAAAAGACAAATGGTGAAATAAATATAGCCAAAACCTGTTATTATAATATCACGTTCGTTATTTCAAAGAATATTCACAATGCTAAATTGTTTAAAATTAGCTTTTAGGTAATTTTTTTTTGTTATTATTTCTTTATATAATTTATCTCATATCTCGATTGTGTTTGATATTTGAAAAAGCTCTGTAAGGTTGGTTGTAGGGTAGCCCAAGGCTGTTTTCCATCGAATTACTCACGGTGGTCGGCCAGGAACAAACCATTTCATGTTTTTCTCCGCTCGACGTTAGTCACATCAAGGTTTATGAATAAACCCCGAGAAATGAAACGGCTCCAGGAAACTTTTAGAACCGCGCGTGTGACATGAGGCGAGAGAGAGAGCTCCAAAGGATCATGTCAACCGTGATATTTTCTCGATATTAAATATGACGTAACAGATATAGGCAGTTATTTAGATCAAAGTCGAGAGGCTGAAATTGCCTTGCTACGTTACTTTCCTTATTCAGTACTGTGCGATTCGGACCTTGGTCGTTGACATTTTATTGCTGTCATTTTATTTATCACTTTTAATATTTTTAAAATTAACTCAGTATCCAAAAGCAAAGTTCATTTCTGTCGTATTTTTTAACCAGTGCCATTTAATTAAAATGGTTTAATTACAAATAGCGTCATTCCAATACGCTTCCACTATTTCTTTTCTCATGTCAGGTATAGTTATTATGAGGCCAGAGGTAATTTTCGTGAGTATTTAAATATTTATAGTGGTGTTTTTATAATATGTACAAAAATATAGACTTGAATAATTTAAATGAACTATTTATGTTTGATAAGTATAGCAATATTGCAAGTTGATTGTAAATCGTGATGGGTCTGAAAAAATATGTTAAAACGCAGTGTGATTTGAGATAAGAGAACCAACGGATGTGGGAAAAATACCATTAAAGAGCTGTTTATAGAAACTGATCAATCAGAATCTCTTAATACGAAGGCGTTAAGTAGCCAACAAAAGTCCGCGTGGAAGGCCAAATACCAGATGGATAGATCAAATCAACAAAGATGCAATACAGCTGCATGCAGATAACTGGAAAGAAATAGCCTAAGATAGGCAGAGGTAGAGAAGACTGGTTAAGGCGATAAAAGATCTCTCTCCCCTCCCCCAAAAAAATGCACAAAAATAAATTTATAAATTAGAACCTGAGATTATAGCGTAAATAAATATATATGGAAGCAGGAGTGATACGACCCAACCCCTGTATGGTACTCCTATAGAGAATCGCGAAGCGGTCCAGATGTTAGATGCCATCCAGCGGATTGTTTCTCGGACGGTCCGTTTCAGGGATAGAAAAATGTAGGCCCTCTTGCGCCTTTTAACTCTGAGCAGCCATAATCCATAGATCTAGGCCGATTTGTCGCTCTCCTTGAACCCGAATGAGTTGAAGGACACTGTCAGATTGGCCTCAATGGGTTGGGCTTGAGGGCTATGACCTTCAAACAATACGTTTGTGATATGTGATGATCAAATCGCGAAACCAACGATTTACATAATCTATAGCGCCAACTGGAAAAAATATTTTTGTATACTTTTATGACTAATTGGGTATTTTAAGTTTCATATATCCATTGATGGATAATTATATATATTAATATTCGCGACAACTACGGAGTTGGAGTTTGGTAAAAATCGAATGATTTTAAACGTTACTACTAAGCAAATACTTAATATTATGCTACCAGTAAAACGTTAAAAGAAAAACATTCATACTCGAATCAGGTTGAGAAGGCATTAAATATTTATCCGTTAATAAATAAATTTTCTATAGACAATAAAACCACGCGGCTTTATTCTATTCAGCTCCATTTCCAAAGTACATAGAATAATTTTTAATTAGTTTAGATTTAATTGCAGATATCAAGTTAACTTCATTGACGTTTAGGGCTCAGTAAATTAAAATTAATGGAGAGAAGTTGAATACACAATTTAGATGCTAAATTATTCTTGAGGTTATTGCGTCATTGAATAATCAATTTTGAGCATTGCACTGCTTTTTAGTTCTCTTAAAAAAGGCATATTTCTCTATTTATTTCAGTTGTCTGCAAGAGCAGGCGCATAAAATTATTATATCTGATAATAATTGTAATTATTGTTTTTCTCATAAATGTAATTAAGTATGTTGTGTAATAAATAATAAAAATTTCTTTAAAAACTGATAATATAATTTTCCTGTGGTGGTTATTAGGAAAATAAACGTGGTTGTTTGAATGTTTTATAATTAGTGAAAGTAAAAATTACATACGCTGTACTGATTTACAATTCAATGTGGGTATTGTTATTTTTATAAGTACCCTTATATATACAAATTTTAATATTTAGCACTGTAATCTATACAGTTAAATATTTAATAATACTATCATTAGCATCAAAGAAAACCACATATGTATATTTACCTAACATTAAGTAACAATAACGGAGTCCTTATTATATTAAGCTCATATTACGTATGGAAGCGTGTTCTAATCTTTCTAGTGAGATCGAGTGCGCTCGTACTCCTTCGGTTCCTCAATTGCAACTATTCTTTGTTATGATCTCTTATTTCTCCTTTAGTTAATCCTCAAATTCTTTCATATTTTATATTCAACTATCTTTTATATTAGAGATTAATGTGAAATGGTCAATTGTTTCAATTAAAAAAAAAAAAGGATACTTTAGTGTAAGCTAATATTAAAAATTCGCCATTTAAGCCCTGTTAGAAAACAGCAATCACAATAAAAACTGCATTTTATTTAAAACTGTTTAATTTTACACTGATATGATGAATTTAATATAAATCGTTAGAACCGTTTTAGAGAAAATCGCAAAAATTTGCTTAGTCCATTATATAAAGTGCCACTTCCGGTTAGCAGATTTTGATAAAACCGTTGCTGTAACATCCCTAGCATATAAAAACCTTAAATATGCAATTTCACTTGCGTACGATTTTTCGTTTTTGAGCTAGACTGTTAACATATACACACACACAGACCATTTTTCGGGTCTCTTGGTTATTCGGACTCAGATATTCTCGAAACGTGTATTTCCGTGGTAAACTGAGATTCGAAACGCAATACTTCCCCTTACTATATATTTCATATATAGGTAAGTGAAACTAATAAACACAATTAAGTTTAATTTGGTGTAATTAACATTGACACGTGAATGAAATTTGGTGAAGTTTTGTTACTTTTGTTAATTTTATTTTGTTATGGTCCCTTCCTTGAATCTTTACTTATTCCCTTGAAAAACTCATTTCAGTTGCGATTAAATAAATGGTCAGCTAATGGGTAACCTTCTTGATATTTTTGTAAATATTTAGATATTTGTTTTTCCCGATCAAGGATTAGATACCACATTATAGTGCTTAGATATTACACATAAGTTGATCTGTAGCTAAGTGAAAATAAACGGGATTGAGCTTGGAACGGAAATGTGGGATATAACTTCTCACCTCACTCTCAATGTACTTGTTAACTTAAAATAAATATTTACCATAAACTTGTAAAGTGCTATTTTATTTTTAAAAAAACATCACTTCAAGAATAATCGTGTTAATCGTTCTATATACCTATTAATGGTCATTATTTTTTTAGGTATTTTTTTAGGTATTTATGGGAATCCATTCTAAATGTTTTTTACTTTTTTAATCATATGATTGATGCATCTGTTAAGTCAATTGTTATTTTACTTTATTAGGAAGAATCATTCTTGCGATTAACATTTCGAAGTAGTACCGTTTCAAAGTAGCATGGAAAACCTTCCATTCAGATCGGTGTACCATATGGATTACCTCGGCGGGAAGTACGGCAGGTACTTGGATTCCTTACTGCCCGGACAGTTCGGCCAGACCGATCTTACGAGGAATCGGAGCTACAATGACGGAGTCCGCCTGTTACAAGAGCGTCAGTACCGCTGGCTGCGGGAGGTGATGGTGCCTCGCTACGGGAAGAGCCTCAACCTCACACCGCTGACCTCAGACACGATGGAGAGCCTGAGGTACCAGCAGAGGGAGTACCGCCGCCAGCTGGCCCAGCCCAAGGAGGTCAAGCCCCTCCTCTTCAGCCAGGCGGAGTACGCGAGGATGGAGGACTTCAACACCTTGTGCGACCTTCATCGCAACACCTACAGGGACTACGATAAGTTCCATATCAAGTACCCCTTCTTCAAGGAGGAGGACAAGTACTTTAGTCCGACGAAGGATTATATATTCCAGATGTCGGTGGACATGTTTCACTGAAGAGTTTTTCTTGATAATGATAATAGCATTATTATTAAAATTCACTAAATATTAGATACATTACTTTGTACATTAGGACATTAAAATTGGAGTATTCATTGTATTAAGGTAATTCAATTTTACGTTGATGTTTAATTAAAAAGGATATAACTTCCGTGTCTTTTAGACTCCGGTTTTTGGATTACTAGATTATTGTGCATAACTGCATAACACCATAAATATTTAAGTGTTTATGAATTCTTCAACTAAAAACAAAATACTAATCCATACTAATTTTTTTAATAGTAATTTTTGGAACCTAATTAATTTTATTTTATTTTTAAATATTGCAGTTTATAAATACAAAACAATGATGAGCTAGCCCATAATTATTTGACAGATCGCGGTCGAATTCATGCGGCATTAAGTTAAAATTAAGGTTTTGTTTTTCCTCTACTCTCCGATTTCATCAACAATATATACATATGCCAGAAGAATATAATATTTACTTACAATACATATTTCGAAATATTTTATAAATAAATCGGAGAGTAAGGAAAAAAAAAACAACGTTAGTAGTTAGTGGTAGTAAAGTAGTACTATCATCTGTGTTTGTCGTCGGGCTGCCAAGTAATTAATTGTGGATAAGTTGTAGAGCCATTAAGAAAAATTCAATCGAATTTATTTTTTTAATCATCATCATCATATTCCTGATCCCATTACCGCAGCGCAGTGTGGGCTATGTCTTGTAGAGCTTGGACCAGGTTTCCCTTTCTTGAGCCAACTCTCTTCTCCTACTCCAATCCATACCTCGCTTCCTGAACTCCTCTTGTACACTATCTTCCCAGGATATGCGTGGTCTTCCTCTAGGTCTCCTTCCCTCCACACGGGCCTTATCATTTAATTTAGTTTGTAATTAACGTACCAGATAGATGTTGCCAATTATGAATTCATACATGAATATGTTCGTGGTAGGAGGTGGTTGGGGTGTACGAACAGGCGATGGGGAATCCAAGCATTTTTATTTCAGGAGACATGGCACTGTCATGATCCCCGTGGTGTAGTGCAGTGTGTCGCTGCCTCCGAACCTGGGTTTGATTTCAGTTTATGTTTAAAAATGCTCAGGTTTGCAACGGGAGCCTCTCACAGTCACGGGGATAAATGAGATAATACTTGAAAAAATAATTAATGGCCAAGTCACTGGAAAATAAATTTGTGAACGCGTGTTGCCTAGCAAAGCAGGGGATTCGAAAGGTTTTTCATGTTTTATAAGAAATGTTAAACAATTGGAAAGTGGAGTCGTATATAATATATTAACACTCAATTAATTTTTCGTTCGGTATTTGGTATAAGCCTATACTGATTAAATTCAGTGGTTTCAAATATATTACACAATATCATCATATATATTCGGTTTATTGCAATAAGTCATTAAGTGACACTTTTATGAATTTGAGAGAATCGAATTTGAAGTTTCTGATACGTTAAAAAATACTATAACAATTTGATTACTTATTTTTTGTTATTTGAAATTATAAATATGTATTCTATTTTTGAAAATTAATTAAAATATTTAATATATACATAATAATGAATAAAAATGAAAAAAACCAAAAAAAAAAAAAAAAAAAACCGACTCCACTATGCACATAGTGACATTTTTCACACTGTCATAATTGAACAAAATCCTTACTTTTATAACCTTGCAAGAGCATAGAATGAGTTAGACTTACCTAAATTAATAAGTTTTATTAACCTTCTGATCAATTAATTCAATGAAAGAAGTCATTAAGTACCAGATGGTGAATTTTGGCGTTAACCTTATTTTGAGAACAAGAATTTCATTGAGTAACTTAATGACTTTTTGTTCTGTATAGTCAGAACACCGTACACATAGTCAAAATATTTTTTACACATGAAAGGATCTGTATTATTTTTATGCACTTAATGAGTTATCCCTCAGGTTCAAATCGACCAAAAGTGCATTTTGTGACTTTTTGCAATAAACTCTGAATCCTATCTCACACACAAACAGTTTCTTCAATTATTACATCTTACGTTTGTCTCATCGATCATGTTATGATAATTATATTAAGCTTATCTAAATTTCAAATAAAATGACAACAAATAACAAAGTAATTGATGAAAAATAATCAATCATTCGTAAAATTTCGATGAATTAAAAAAAATAATGTTCGTTTTTTTTATAAATTTTACATCTGTTGTTTTATCTCGTATATTAGAGTAATTAGATAAATAATGCACCCATTTATTTAGTTATTAAAATAAATTTTCTATCCAGATTTTATTTATATTTCATAGGTACTTAGGACAAACGGAATTACCATTGGATGATAAGTCCTCTGGTATAAAGCCAAACTGTGTAAAAGCATTTCATTAGGCATTCGTTGTACTATGTAAATTTGCTCTAGCGGCTGCTCGAGCCCGAACCTAGATCAACATCGCTCGGTATGATTACTATAGTAAGAGCCTTACTTATCCAAATAATTTTGAAATGATATAACTTACCGAAAATGTGTGTCTTAATCTATGATAAGATTAGCAATCCATATTTACCTGAAACAGAGGAAAATAGTAATTAAAATACAATTTATTAAAAGAAAAGAAGTGAAAAATCTTATATTACGTTTTTCTTAGGACTATTTTATACAGTGGTATTTTATAATTCATTGGTATCATATAGATGCATAAAAATATTTAATTCCGTTAATATTACTCCTAAAACTAGGATTTTTTTTTTATTATTATATTTTTTTTTGTAAATGCACAGAAATCTTATCTTAGCCGCAAGGCAGAGCTAAAAGTAAAGGTTCTATGTTATTTTATAGGAATTGTCATGGTTACTTTTCCGTATTCTATCTTCCAAGGTAAGAAAAATCTTCCGGCTGTTCCCGTCTTGGGTGATTAGGAATATGTTTTTCTCTTTAGTTTATAGGATTCTGAAATATACCACTATATTCGTTGCGGTAGATCGTGAGAGAGTTAATGTTACATGAGAGAATCACATATTTTTTTCCCGCAATCTTAGTATTTAGTTTCTTGTCTTTATTATACCATATATGCGAGGTACAACTTAATATTATTATTGGGTAAGTAGGAACCTTTTCTTGTTATAATGGCTTTGTCTTATATTAAACTACAACTTTTGTTTTTACGAAAAGTCTCCGAAATAGGGTGTATTAGAAGCTGGAGATCGATAAACTTTGTCTGTGATGGTACTTCCATTTGCATTACATTTGAATCCTAAGATAATTTGATCACAAAATTGAAAAAAAAAAGAAGGCCTACAAAAATACTGATCCGTTTGGCTTGATCTTCATTCCCCAGATGTCAAAATAACGGCCCAATATTTTTGTTGGTCTCTTTTTGTCTCCAATTGTTAATCAAATTATCAAATGGTTCAAGAGGAAATTAATGGTATTCATGGTTTTTTTATTACCTCATTAAATCAAGTAATGTAACGAGAAAATTCATAAAAATTTTCGTAAATAAAAATGTTGTAGGTTACGTCAATATGAAGCTATTGAGGGATTTTTAAAAGGATGTTAATAATTTAATAAAAAGGAGTCTGTACTGGGAACCATAATAGTTGGTTTCTTGAATCAGTATGTTATGTTTTGTTGAATATTTGTAAGTTTTACTGTACAGTAAATGTGTAAGGCATGTGTCGATATATTCTTATGTAGGTATCCTATATATTATTTCTAAAAGATGTTTTTTTGTCGGTACGCCATAACTTCGTCTATTCTTCATCAAATCCAATGTTTGACCACTCTTCTCCTTCACATGAAAAAATAGTCCTATCCCTCTGAAATTTCTGGAAAAAAAGTTATGAAGGAAAAGAAATTTTATTCGCGAATAACTCAAAAAGTATTAATTTTTTTCTGGATTATACCCAAGATAATTACAGATTTACTAAATTACCTACAAAAAAAATCGTAAAAATCGGACAATTATTAACAAAGATACAGTCCATTAGTTTTGGTATACTTAATAATGTCTTCCTATTTAAAGATGTTGCATTTAGGAGTAGAATAGTCTAATACATTTATATCCTGAATTTTATATTGATTTTATTATCTCTTAAAGACATTTGGTTGTTCTTACATTTTATATATTTTTAATAATTTAGAATATCCTATGATCGGGGCATTATTTTGTCTTTATTACTTTTATTATCTTTCTAAAGTGTGTTTAAAAATAGGTCCTTTGAAAGCAATTTGTATAAATATTTTGGTCTATTATTTTTAATGGAATATTGTAATCGACTAAGGAAAAAAATATTAATTCCTTCCTTACATAATAAATGGGAACTACTTATTTTCCTATTGTTTTGCTATTTCTTCACTAAACAAAATTTTCTGTGAATTATTAGCACGGGCCAACTAGCAAGAAATATATTTGAAGTTTAGTTAGTTTTAGGTTATTATGTTTTCTAACATTGTTTTCTATCAGGATTGTTGTATTCTTTAGCCCATTGGCTATAGTCTTCTTCGGTAGTGGAAGTCATGTCTTAATGTGATCAATTTTCTCTGGATTCTGACTTTAGTACAATAATTAAGGAAAGATTTTTCATCTTTTGTGTTATCTTATAGACATGTAAAGAATTTTCTAGCCACCTTTTATGCTTTAAAATATTTTTTGTTCTATCTTATATTCTGAAATTACTTATTTATTTAAAATTATTTATTATATTTAAAATTATTTATTTCGATCTTATATACATTAACTGTTTTTTCATACCCAATGCCAAATTACCTCCTTTTTACCTCCATTTTTATTTCCAATTGAGTGACTCAATTATCACTTGTCTTTGATTTATATATAATTTGTTTCTACACATTAGTTTCTCTTATAATTCTTTCAATGTCATTGTAAAAACATGCTATATATTTACTTGTTATAGCCTTTCTCTCTCTTGTTTTTTATATAATTTACTCTCTAATTTGCTTTTTAGATATTTATTGGTAAAAGAAAGTAGTTGGTGGTCATTTTTACTTCTTTTAATGGCCTAATATCAATAATCTGGATTCAAATTCCTAGTTAATTGTTATTATTTTTATTAATTGTTATTGATTAGGCAGTGTCCATCTTTGGTTATATATTTATTTCTTAATCAGAATAGTACCTGTCATAACATATAATCCAGATCGATAATGGTAATAGCACAATTCCTCTA